ATAGGTGGGGCCTGAACTGTTTAGGATTTTATAGGACATTACCTGCACATTACACTAAAGAAGAAAGAAGAAAGCAAACAGCAAGCAAATTCTAGGAAGGCCTTCTCCTTTTTTTCCACCAAATGATCCCGGGAAAATGGTGGGATAGAAAGAAGAGCCTCTCCAGACAACCCAAGTGCTCTAAGGGACTCGTACAAACTTTTTCCAATCAAAGATGAGCATTTTTGTGCCTCGTTTTTTGCCTCACGTTTGATATCCCAGCAGATGCGTGATCCTCTTATCCTTTAAGGCAGGAAAGCGCTCTTGACCGGCCTCGCAGGTGCCGCTCCTCCTTGCTTTGCAGGCGCCGAGCGTCTTCTCCACACCGTAGTTAATTTTTAATTAACACGAACGTGCAAAATTGGGATACTTAGCCATGCACAAAATAAAGCACCCTCAGCCCGCGCGAAGCTCTGCGAAGCCTCTGTTTTCCTAGAAATAATTAAGGGAAGCGTGAGTGCCCATCCCAGCGGAAGAGATGGCATACAGTCAGCGTACCCAGCCATAAGCGTCTTACGATTGGTCGTCTTCGGGAAGAGAAGGCGAGCGAGGGGCCGACGGTGTTGGCATCGCCACCAGCTGAACAGCAGCCATGAGAGAGCTTGGCAAGTCAGTGGCGTTGACACAATATTTCAGTTGGTTATGTTGCGGGCCAGATGCTCAGCTGGAGAAAACCAGCCGGATGCCAGGAAGCGTCACTTCAGCGGTGCCAGGCGCATATCAATCGAGGTTCTGCTGGCCTTTGTTCCTGCCCTTTCTGTGTCCATCCGTGTTGGCCGAAAGGAATATGAGCTCCCTGCCTCTCTCTTTAAGCGTGTGATGCACAGAGACAGTGATGGCGTTACCCACTGAAAACACTCCCTCCGTATGTTTTATACGATTTCCATCAGTCACTCTTTCCACCTCTTTATGGACTCCATAGAATCTGCGAGAGGCAGAAGCAATGATAAAAGAATATGGCGGCCCATGGTCATAGAAACCCAAGAACGTGTAGGATGGTCAGTCGTAGGCAAGGACATCGATGTGTAGGCTCTTGGCCTTGCAAACATCAGTAGAACTGCAAGACCGAGAAGAAGCCACGAGAGCAAAGACAAAGATCCACCCAGAGGAAAAGTATTCTTACCATACACCAAGGGAACCACTGACCACATAGGGAAACACAACCTACAAACTATCTACAGACCCACCAAGAAAATCCAACAAGTGCTATGTTCAGAAAAGGACAAGAGGGATCCTCTCACCTCTACAGGAGTTTATTGCATACTGTGCAGCTGTGGACAAGTCTCCATAGGGACCACCAAATACAGAATTGCCCAGACACAAATCAAGGAACATGAAAGCTACTACAGACTAACTTAACCAGAGAAGTCAACCATAGCAGAGCACCTGATGAACCAACCTGGACACAGCATGTTATTATTTGAGACACAAAAATGCTGGACCACTCTGAACATCAACATGTCTGACTACACAAAGAAGCCATTGAAATCCACAAGAAGCATGTGGACAATCTCAACAGAAAGGAGGAAACCATGAAAATAAACAAAATCTGGCTACCAGTATTTAAAAAGACCAAAATCAAGACAGTAAATAAAGAGGAATACTCGGGAACAGGGAAATTCCAGATGGGAAACAACTAAGTGCCAGTGACCTCCCAAACAGGGGATGCCTCCAGGCACAACAGCCAAGCTACCTCTATGCATTTGCATAGTCACTGGTTGACTTCGCACCTGCAAGGCTACTCAATCTTAATCAAGCTTGTTACATATACTTTCCATTTGCCTCACCTCCAACAGATCTCTGAAGATGCCAGTAGCCACAGATGCAGACTAAACATCAGGAGAGAATGCTGCTGGGACATGGCCAGACAACCTGAAAAACTCACAGCAACTCGGTATGCTCTTTCCTTCTCCCTTGGACTTATATGGTAGATCCATGATGAAATTGGGTGACTCCAGTTTCCTCCTCCAATAGCATAAGAAGACATGAAGAGAAGGTGTAGGCAAGAACCTCCAGATCTTAAGTAGCATCTCAGTCGCATTGTGTGGCACCTTGAGAAGAGAAAAGGGCATCCCAATGGAGATGAGAAAGTCACCCGACATATGGTGCTGAGGATGGAACAACCTGACTTCTTGGGATGCTGAGAATGGGATTGTCAACCATGCGATTCAAGAAGGAAGAGAAGCATGAAGCTCCAGATCTTTGGGGCTGTCTCGGTCACAGACACAAGCATGCATCATGATGTGGTAGCTAGAGAAGATGAGATAGTAACCCGACTTCTTGTCCTGAGGATGGGATTGCCAATCATGCAACTCAAGAAAGCCATCGCTTTTTCACAGAATTTATTGGCGCTCCCTAGGAGCCAAGAACTACAGGAGGACAACCTTTTTGTCCTTGAGCCTGAAGCTGTTAGTCCTTCAAGATGTGTTGCTTCTCTTGTGCCGAGGTACTCTTCTTGCAGCTTCCATTCCACATCAGATAAGCAGTGTCTTGGTTTTTAGGCCTGTTCTTGGGGGCGCCAATTCAGAAAATTGCCTTGGATAGATGGCATCAGCTCTAGTTTCTTAGATATGAATGTCATGGTTTTCTATGAGCAAGCAGATGGCATTTGTTCTGTATCTCAAAACTGGAGCTGATAGAGGGAAACTGGTCCCATTTTGGAACCAGTAGATCAGATACACAGAGACGCAGGGCAACATTTGAGGCACCGACTTGTGTGTTGGCCATGATCTCAGCTGCATCCTCGTCCTTGGTTGCATAAACACAGCCTTTGCTAAATGGGATATTTAAGAGCTATTCCATCTGCGTAATTGGGGGTGCATTCAGAGAAGCCCAGTAGACATCTTTGCCCTTTGGTTTTTCCAGGGGTCTGTCTGCCTGGCCTTAAGACCCTTGACTTACTAATGCCTTTGCAATGTCTCTACAGAGTCTTCTGTACCTGTTTAAATGCCTTTTGGGGTAAATAACGTGGGAGGTGCTCTCCGAAGCGTATTAATCTAGCTGTGGGGAAAATCCAGGATGCAAGCTGAGCTTCTGGGTGACCCTGCCAAGGAGAATTTGCTTGAGCCGGGCCTTGCAAGTGGCTGCTTTTTGCTTGGGCAACCCAGCATTTCTTGGCTGTCGGTGGCACGTCCTCACGTCTCCTGAGCTGACCTTTGGAAGGCAATTTTAGGGTTTTCTGTAGCTGCCAGACTCCATAAGTACAGTAGTTGGTGACCTTAACCTGCTCCTTTGAGTTCCAAGATGAACCTGGGAATGAAAGGCAAAGTTGTGTCAGGGAACACCTTCGGAAGCCTCTCCTCTTAATTGAATCCGGTTTTAATTAAGCCGCACTTTGCAGCAGTCTTGGTCACGAGTTATTTACCGACATCCTCTTGGAACGGAATTGGACGAAAACGTCAATAGAAAAGCATAAATCCCGGAGCCTCGGCTGAAAGCGTTGTATCGGTTCTGGGCTCCAGAAAAGCCTTACCGCCATTCGCTGTCACGGATCCGTACACTTGATCGATAAACTTCAAATATGATTAGAGGTGGAGGTTTCAGAGATTGGCTCTGTTCTTGGGGAGAGAGGCCGAGATAAATCTTTTTTAAAGGATTGACTTGGAGTTGGCACCCTCGCTGGCTGGCTCTTCCTGGTGCAACGCATTCCTCTTCCTGGGCGCCGGAGCCGCCGTGAAAGGAGGGCGAGTGTTGGGCGGCCGGGACAGATTTATGGGCTGTGTGCTTCTTGTAGGGAAAGATTTAAATGGTAAATCCTTCACATATGACTTCACAAATCATGTAAAGTTAAAAGAATTTTACCGTTTCTTTTGCTGCTGTGCTTAAATTGTAAGAGATGGCCGGTAAATCATTTTAATGGAGGTGTCACGGTTGAACTCGATAAAAAAAGGCGGGGAGGAGACAAGCGACAATGGTTTAGCTTCCATTCCCAAATGTTAATGTATTAATCAACGAGAGAATAATTGTTTTTTACCGCGTTATAAATCTCGGTTGCCATTAGAATCGGTTGCAGCCACGTCCTTAAATTAAAATTGTTTACATTGCTATACATTAATTTTACATTGCCATAGCTCATGCCGGAGTTTCTCCCCAGCCAGGGAAGCCATTCCTCTCCAGGGAGAAAGTCCTCCAGGGATGGAGGGAGGGAGGGAGCAACCCATAAAAACAAATTAATTGCCCAGCAAGTGGTTAAATACATAAAATAAAAGCAATGCACAATTATTGCTTGCTATCTTTATTCCAGAAGGACTTTTATGTTTGGGATCGAAGGTTCTTGGGGGGCCTTCCTTAGTCGCAAAGTGGCCAGGGAGGAGCAGAGAGGGATTTTAAAGCATGTGGAAATGGTAGACCTAGTTTCCAACAGTCTGAGAAGAGGCTTCCATGCTCATTCCCATTTTCTGAACGTATCAAATGATGTCAACTTTTGTTTGAGAACCATTGTAGTTGGTGACTTCCATCATCAGTATGTTCCACTACAGGCTCTTAGAGCAAGCTTTCCAGGAGCTCTCCAAGGTGCTGAACCTGGTTTGTTAGTCAGTTTCAGCACCTTGGATAGCTCCTCCGGTATTTTTCTCAGCACCAAAGGTGGATCCATTGCCCTGCGGATGTGGAACGCAGTTGTTGCATAGTTTGAAGACAGAATTGAATTGTGACACTCAGTAAAATATTGGGAATATCAATGTATAAGGGTTTGGTGCCCATTCTTTGATCTGTTTCCCTTCGGACAGCCTGAGTTGCACCAATAGTAGCGTATTGGTGCTGCTTCCCTGTAGGAGTGTCCAGCAAGCCAGTTTAATAGAGGCCCAAGACTGCTTGGTCTCGTGCCTGAATCTACTTTGCCTGGGTTAGTTTTGCTCCCTGTTAAATCCCATTTTTAAAAAATGACAGGTAAAGACCAGTCCAGGGTTGCAAAGCCATCCTCACAGTGGTTGGTAATGTTGTTTGTTTCTCAATTGTCACAGATTCCCGGGCAGGTGAGGAAAGCGCCATCACCGCCGTGGACCATGCAGTAATCGGTGGCGTCGTTGCCGTGGTGGTCTTTGCGATGCTCTGCCTCCTGATCATTCTGGGCCGATACTTTGCAAGACACAAAGGTAAGCTATTGGAAGGATGTCCCATTGAGGAGGGCTTCCTTTCTACTGTCTGGAGACTCAGGCTCAATAGAACAATGGCTTCAAAGGGCAGGAGAATAGATTCCTAATGGAAAGAGCTTTTCAACAGTGGAATGAACATCTTTGAAAATTGCTAGTGTCTCCTTCTCTGGAGATTTTTCAACAGAGATTGGATGGCCATTGGTTGGGAATGTTTGAATTGTGTCTTCCTGCATCACAGGATGGGATTGGCCCTTGGAGTCTCTTCCAACCCTTCCAACTCTAGGATTCGATGACCATTCAAGATGATGGTGGGATCTCCATCACTGAGGGTCTTTAGATGGAGGCTTTGATTGAGTATTCTTGCGTGGCAAAGGGCATTGGACTTGAAGGCCCTTAAGATCTCTTCCAATTTTAGGATGTTGTGTATCGTAGATGGTCATGTGTATCATAGAAGGTCATGTGAAAGATTGTCTAGTACAAGACCTTGGATAGCAACTTTGCTTGGGTTGTAGCAGAATGCGGTTGGTCCTTCCAACTTGAGGATTCTATGAACTTTCAAGATGGAAACATCAAGGTGATGGTGGAATCCCAACCCTGGAGGTCTTCAAAGAGAGGCTTTGATTGTGCCTTGCTTTAGGGCAGAATAGGGTTGGACCAGATGGATCTTGTGGTCTCTTCCAACTCAGTGATTCATCCCTTTCTACCCCTCTGTGTCCTTCAGGTACTTACTTCACCCATGAAGCCAAAGGAGCCGACGACGCGGCCGACGCCGACACCGCCATCATCAACGCCGAGGGGGGACAGAACAACTCCGAAGAGAAGAAAGAGTACTTCATTTGAGGTCTCTCTTGGTTTCCAAGAAGCGCCCCCCTCGTGGCGGACGACCGAGAGACAGGCCCCGCGTAGAAGATCAAAAGACAGTGATGTTGGAAGTTGCTACCAGCTTATGGCTCTTTTAATTTTGTCTCTTTCTGTCTCTCTTCTTCCCCCAGAACTTCCCCTTTATTTCTTTTATCCCCCCTGTTTTTATTCTTTTGGTTCCAGTGCTGTTAATTTTGAGAACAAACAAACAAACAAACAAACCGAAACGGCTGGCAACGTGTGTCTGTGTCGCAGAATCGAGGCACCCCCTTTCCCCCCCCCCCTTTGTGTAAAAAAGCGTTCTCTGTAAAGTACACTCTCCCTTGTCTTGGGGTTTTCTAAATTACTCGGCCCAAGTCGTCCGGCTTGTCTTTAGTTTAGTCCTACCATTCTGCAGAGAGAAAATCTAGATATATTTCCGTGCCTTCTTTTATTTGGTCTTTCGCGGGGGAGGCGTGGAGAGCAAACGGTTCCCATTCCCTTCGTAGTCTCTCTTGGAAATTGCCTGCCTGCTGAGATCCCTTGGAAAGAGATATATTTCATTTCCCTTCCCCCAATTTCCCCTCACTTTCGGTTATCCCTTCCACCCAATGTTTTTATCGCCGGGTTATGAGTTTTTAAAAATATATATATTTGTTTTGTTTCTGTTGTCGTTGTTGGAAAACTGTGTCATCCGAGGAGAACCAGCACACCTTAGATTTCATCCGTTTGCAATTCAGTGTAACCATCCATCCATCTATCCATCCAACTCTCTTGTCATATGAAAACTTGGAAAAAGAAACTTTTTTCGGGAGAATGGGGGGCAGATGTCCAGGGTTTTCCAAGGCAAACCAATGGTCCAGATTGGGGATCAGAGAGGGGGAGACCCCATATTTTGATTTCAGGGTCTTCAGAGAGCGAAACAAGTCCCCCCACCCCGTCATTGAATCCGCTTTTACCGCATTAGCATCCCTTATTCATTCTGTCCGGACGGGGGCAACCAAGACATCTTGTGTCCCCCCCTTGGCTACCAAGATGGTTTGGGACTGGTCCTTTTGGAACAAAGGAAGCCAATTCGAGTTGTCACCGGAAGGAAAAGTTAGAGAGGGATCGAAAGGGGGGGAGGAGGGTCTGCTCTAATTTTTTCCGTTCCAAATGATCCCGTCAGCGGCTCCCCACCGGCCTCACGTTTACTGTAATTTGCTGGAAATAAAAATTCAACACAAACCTTTGTGATGTGAAAAGAATGTGAATCGGCCAACGTCTGTTGTCGTTCTTGTTCCTAATCCCCCCCCCCTCACTTCTTCTTCTCCTTCTTCTCCTTCCCCCATTTTGGGTTTCCACTTTCTTAAAGAGGTCACAGGGAGAAGTCCTGATTGCAGCCAGCAAGTAATGTACATTTACAGGTATTTGTCCTGCTGAGAAATCCAGCGTGAAACTTTCCACGCCGTTGGATTTGACTTGAGAAAAGGCAGGAGGGGCGGGGGGGAGTCTGCGTTTGTTTTCATGCTGAACTTCCCTGCGTCTCTGTTCAGAGAAAGGTCAGAGAAAGCAGCCTTCGTTTCCACTCACTTGATCCAAACTCAATACTATAACTCCCTCTCTATTTGCTATCGTTGGCTTTGTTTTGGTTCCCTTTCCCCGACTCTATACCTTCTGTTTCCGCAGATTTGGGGGCCATCTAGTCCTGGCCAAGAGAAGACCCAATGGGTGCATCTACACTGCCCAATTAATGCAGTTTGATACCTGTTTTATAGCCATGGCTCATTGCTATGGGATGTTGGGCTTTGTAATTGTAACAGTCTTCTTTTGCAAAAGGACTGGTATCTCCTCAAACAATAATTCCCATGAGCCACGGCAATCAAAGTCGCGTCAAAGTTCATTAATCTTACCATGTAAACGCAGCCGAAGACCCAGCAGACCTTCGAGTTCTCAGGAGCAGAGAGAACTAGAATTATAGGATGCTCAATCCCTTGTTTCTTTCCTTTCCTGGGGAGGGAACTTATATTTATTGCTTTTTGACATTTCCTTTCTTTTTCTCCCCCCTTAATAGGGACCTGAGGCACCTTTAAAGAGCCCCCACCTCTTTAAAAGCAAATTATTTTACAAATTCCAGGCCCAGTTGGGAATGCGATGAGACTTTGTAGGAAGGGTCCCCATTGGCTGATTCACAGGGAAGGAAGCACTTCGATGGGGGAGCAAGAGAGAGATAGCACCTCTAACGTCCGTTCGATTTGCTTCTTTTTTTTTAAGGAAAATTAAAGGCTTTTACAATATATATTTATTTTTTAAATTATTGGCAGAATGGTTTAGACCAGGCATTGGCCAACTTGGGCCCTCCAGGTGTTTTGGACTTCAGCTCCCATAATGTGGGTATGCAGATGATCCCTTGATTGACTGAAGGGTCAATTCCCAAGAAGACAAAGGCATGGGCCAACTTGGGCCCACCCTCCAAGGGTTTTGGACTTCAGCTCCCATAACATGGGTATGCAGGTGACCCTTTGATTGACTGAACTGTCAATTCCCAAGAGGACAAAGGCATGGACCAACTTGGGCCTTCCCTCCAGGTGTTTTGGTCTTCAGCTCCCATAACGTGGGTATGCAGGTGACCCCTTCATTGACTGAACTGTCAATTCCCAAGAGGACAAAGGCATGGGTCAATTTGGGTCCCCCCTCCAAGTGTTTTGGACTTCAGCTCCCATAACGTGGGTATGCAGGTGACTCCTTGATGGACTGAACTATCAATTCCCAAGAAGACAAAGGCATGGGCTAACTAGAGGGCTGAAGTTGGCCCATGCCTGGTTTCGACACTACCTTTCTCTCTGCGATTCCTTTTGCCCTTTGGTTGGATCAGGGAACGCTCCAACGCTTGCCTTTCCTCCCCGTTTCCCACCTTGGAAACCATGAGAAACCCCTTCCCGGCCTTTCTTTGGGACGAAACGAAACAGCACGAAGTATCGGCGTTTTTTTCGGACCAAGATGGCAGAAGGAAGGGTCTTTGGGGGGGAAGGGGTTCGTCTTTTTTCTACGCATCGACCGCCCGAAACCGACATCCCGTTTTCCCTGAGCAGTTAGTTCATCTTTGTTTCCGGAAGTGTACAGTAGTGCGGTGTTTTATTCCCGATAATGTAACTTTTTCGACTTTTAAATAATGTTTGACATGTCTCAGGTTCATGTGTTTTTGGATTGGTGTGTTCCGTCTCAGGTAGATTGCGAAAACCTTTTTTCGGCCCCACTCTCAACGTCGGACGAGAACGAGCCAGCGCGCCAGGAAATAAATAAGAATAACGTTTAACGGCTTTTTTATTTTTAGTTGCGTACACGGAGCCTGAAAAGGGAAACTTTGGGGCTTCCGCAAAGTATACCGTGCACTGTTTGAAATGTATTGTTAGGTACTGATTTGTACAGGTTTAGATTACAAAAAGAGGTTTTATTTTCTGTTTCGTTTTTTAGTTCAGAGCGGAGAAAGAACAACCTTGTTTCTTGGGCTTTTGCGGTTTTGAGTTTTGTTTTGGGTTTTTTTGGTATTTTGACAACAAAAAAAGAGAAAGAAAATGTTGGAAAGCGAAACGAAGGGTGCATAATTGATGCCAAATAAGCTTGTTCTTTTCTCCCCGTTTTTCTTCTCTGTTTCCCCACGTTTTTATTTCTTTTTCTTCCCTCCCCTTCCCCCCCCCCCCCCCCACTTTAGGCCGATTCTGTTTTAAGATGTCCATGGATGATGTTGCAGTGTAAGAAAACGCATATCCATCTCTTCCCATTCACATTTTGTATTGGTTCATGTATACCATTTTTACAAAGAGGAGAAAAAAAAAAGAAGTACTATAAAGTTATCTGTCTTCTTAATAAAAAGAAATTAATGTTACAAAACTACCTCCCCGTCTCGGTTCACACTCTTTGGCCGCACGGCATCTTCCAAAACGGAGCCGTTGAATTCAAGGAAAATTATTATTATTATTATTATTATTATTATTAAACTTTATTTGTACCCCGCTAGCATCTCCCAAAGGATTCGATGCGGCTTACACAGGCCGAGGCCTCAAACAACACAACATAATAATACAATCAAGCAGAATAAACAACAGCAATAACAATACATCGAGACATCAAGACAATATAAAACTGGGCCAGGCCAGGATAATGGGTAAAAGGTAAAGGTAAAGGTAAAGGTAGTCCCCCTGACATAAAGTCCACTCATGTCTGACTCTGGGGTGTGGTGCTCATCTCCATTTCTAAGCCGAAGAGCCAGCGTTGTCCGTAGACACCTCCAAGGTCATGTGGCCGGCATGACTGCATGGAGCGTCGTTACCTTCCCGCTGGAGCAGTACCTATTGATCTACTCACAGGGTAATGGGTACAAGATTAAAAGTACTGATGTGGCAGGAGGTATGTAGGATTATAAAGTAAGTGCAGTGTGCGGTGTGCAGTGATCTTAGTTCTACTAAAGTGCTTCTAGGACTTGGTATTGGGGGTTCCTAATCTGAAAAGGCACATCGGAACAGCCAGGTCTTCAAGTTCTTTCTGAAGACTGCCAGCGAAGGGGCCTGTCTAAGATCTTTTGGGAGGGCATTCCAGAGTCGGGGGGCCACCACAGAAAAGGCCCTGTCACACATCCCCACCAAATGTGCTTGCGACGCGGGCGGGATCACGAGCAGGGACTCCTCAGATGACCGGAGTGAACGTGTGGGTTCGTAGACGGAGATGCGGTCACGCAGGTAGGGTGGTCCCAAGTAATAATAATACTTTATTTATACCCCACTCCATCTCCCCCAGGGAGACTCAGGGTGGCTTACGTGAGGCCACACCCATCAATACAATAAACACAGTATTATTTATTTTATTTATTTGACTTGTATACCGCTACTCCCAATTTGGCTCGGAGCGGTTTACAGCAGTAGATTAAAACAATACAATTAACTTTAAAATACAATAAAAACGAGAACAGACATAGTCCCGAGTTATTCACCCATCGAAAGCTTGTCAGAAGAGAAAGGTTTTACAGGCTTTCTGAAAAGCAAGTAGCTCTTAGATGGTTCGGGTTTCAACTGGCAATGCATTCCATAAATAAGGGGCCATGACCGAGAAGGCTCTCTGCCTAGTCGAGGACAGATGGTAAGTCTGGATGTTGGGGACTTCAAGCAAATTTTGGTCCTCAGACCGAAGTCATCTCTGGGGTTGGTAGGGGGATAAGCGGGCCCTCAGGTACGCCGGCCCCAGACCATATAAGGCCTTAAAGGTTAGTACCAGCACCTTGAAAGTGATCCGGTACTCAATCGGAAGCCAGTGCAGCTGTTGGAGAATTGGGATGATATGACACCTCGCTGGCACTCCGACGAGAAGACGGGTCACCGCATTTTGCACCAGCTTCAGTTTCTGGATCACTGCCAAAGGAATGCCAAAGTAGAGGGCGTTACAGTAGTCAAGCCTCGAGATGACCATCGCCTGGATCACCGTAGCCAGGTCGTTCCTAGATAGGAAGGGAGCCAGTCGCCTAGCCTGACGCAGGTGGAAAAACGCAGATCTGCTCACAGCAGAGACCTGGGCCTCCATTGTGAGCAGAGGGTCCAATAAGACACCAAGGCTTTCTTACAGAAGGTGATGGACGTAGTGTCTCACCATCCAGGGTAGGCAGCTGGACCTCCCTCCCACCTCCCTCCCACCCCCCAAATACAAATCGATTTTAGAAACAAATTTTTGTGTTGTTACCCAGGCCTAGTAGGCAAGTCCCAAACCATTCAAGGCTTTGTAGGTCAAACCTGCACCTTGAATTGGGTCCGGAAAATAAATGGCAGCCAGTGGAGCTCCTTAAACAGGAGGGTTGACCGCTCTCTGTAATTCGCACCAGTTAATAATCTGGCTGCTTCCCGTTGGACCAATTGGAATTTCCAGGCCGTCTTCAAGGGCAGCCCCACATAGAGCTCATTGCAATAGTCCAATCTAGAGGTAACTAAGGCGTGGACCACCGTGGCCAAATCTGACTTCATGAGGTGCGGTCGCAGCTGGCGCACGAGCTTCAATTGTGCGAAGGCCCTCCCAGCCACCGCCGACGCCTGAGCTTCAAGCGTCAACGCTGAGTCTGTTAAAATTTATTTATTTATTTATTTATTTATTTATTTAATGCATTTGTTGACCGTCGCTCTCAGCCCTAGGGCGACTCGCGGCGGTGTACAACATATAAAAACAGTTTACAAAAAACACAGAGTATATCAACAAACCATATAACACGCTTAATCTAAATTACACTAAACTAATCCGCACCGTCACCACATAGGGATCTACCAGTCTCATAATCCGTATTTCGTTCCGATTGTCATTGTCATTGTCAGTTAGTCTGGGACTAGTTAAATGCCTTCTCGAAGAGCCAGGTCTTTAGGCTCTTACGGAAAGCCATGAGAGAGGGCGCCTGTCTGATGTCAGCAGGGAGGGCGTTCCACAGCCGGGGGGCCACCACTGAGAAGGCCCTCTCTCTCGTCCCCGCCAGACGTGCCTGTGAGGCAGGCGGGATCGAGAGAAGGGCCTCCCCAGACGATCTCAAGGTCCTCGTGGGCTCATAGGCCAAGATGCGGTCCGAAAGGTATTTTGGGCCAGAACCGTTTAGGGCTTTGTAGGATAACACCAGCACCTTAAATTGGGCCCGGTAGCAAATCGGCAGCCAGTGGAGCTGGAACAGCAAGGGCGTTGTATGTTCCCTGCGTCCCGCTCCTGTTAGTAACATGGCTGCCGCGCGCTGGACTAGCTGAAGCTTCCGGGCCGTCTTTAAGGGCAGCCCCACGTAGAGAGCGTTGCAGTAGTCAAGGCGGGATGTGACCAGAGTGTGTACCACCATGGCCAAGTCAGACTTCCCAAGATACGGGCGCAGCTGGCGCACGAGCCTAAGCTGTGCAAATGCTCCCCTGGTCACCGCTGAAACCTGGGGATCCAGGCTCAATGATGAATCCAGGGTCACACCCAAGCTGCAAACCTGCGCCTTCAAGGGGAGTGCGACCCCGTCCAGCACAGGCTGTAACCCTATACCCTGTTCGGCCTTGCGACTGACCAGGAGTACCTCTGTCTTGTCTGGATTCAATTTCAATTTGTTCGCCCTCATCCAGACCGTTACAGCGGCCAAGCACCGGTTCAGGACCTCGACAGCCTCCTTAGTAGCAGGTGGGAAGGAGTGACAGAGTTGGACATCATCTGCGTACAGATGACACCGTACCCCGAAACTCCGGATGATCTCACCCAGCGGCTTCATGTAGATGTTATAAACAACATGGGAGACAGTATTGAACCCTGAGGAACCCCACAAGACAAAGGTTGTGGTGTTGAACAGGTGTTCCCCAATAACACCTTCTGGGTGCGGCCCTCCAGAAATGACTGGAGCCACTGCAGAGCAGTGCCCCCAAGACCCATTTCCGCAAGGCGCCCCAGAAGGATACCGTGGTCGACGGTATCGAAGGCCGCTGAGAGGTCCAGGAGCACCAACAGGGACACACTCTCCCTGTCTAGCTCCCGGCGCAGATCATCCACTAAGGCGACCAAGACCGTCTCGGTTCCATGTCCCGGTCTGAAACCAGACTGTGCCGGATCCAGATAATCCGTGTCTCTCAAGAATACCTGGAGTTGTGAGGCCACCACGCTTTCCATGACTTTGCCCAAAAAGGGAAGATTGGAAACAGGCCGAAAGTTGTCCAATTTAGTGGGGTCAAGTGATGGTTTCTTCAACAGCGGCTTTATAACAGCCTGTTTTAGGCTCGCTGGAATCTTGCCTTCCCGAAGGGAGGCATTAACCACCACCGTTACCCACTCAGCCAATCCCCCTCTGGCCTCCTTCAGAAGCCAGGATGGGCAGGGGTCTAGGATGGACGTGGTGGGCCTCATTCCTCCAAGTATCTTGTCCACATCCTCGGGTTTCACAAACTGAAAAGAATCCATCAAAATAGGACAAGCAGGTGCTCTTGTCACATCCACAGAGACTGCATTTAACATGGTGTCCAGCTCAGAACGGATCAAAGCGACTTTGTCTGCGAAGAACCGAGCAAATGCTTCACAGCGCGTGACCGAATTGTCAGGGCTCCCGCCTGAGGTGGCGGGAGTTAAAAGACCTCTGACAATCCGAAACATCTCCGCCGGACGGTTTTTTGCAGACGCAATAGTGGCCGCAAAGAAAGTTTTCTTTGCGGCTTTTATTGCCGCGGCATATGCCCTTAGAAAGGACACAAACCGTGCTCGATTTGGCTCGCTTGGGTCCGAACGCCACACGCTCTCTAGTTCCCTCTTCCTTCGCTTCATCACTGCCAGCTCCTCAGTAAACCAAGGGGCTGGTTTAGCTCGGCTACTTGAGAGGGGACGTTCCGGAGCGATCATGTCAGTTGCCCTGGCCATCTCCCCATTCCAGAGAGCGACCAAGGCCTCGACATGGTCACCTACCGAGGTGGCGGGAAAATCCCCAAGAGCCGTCAGGAATCCATTCGGATCCATAAGCCTCCTGGGGCAGACCATCTTAATGGGTCCTCCACCCTTGCGGAGGTTAGGGGGCGCAGTGAGCCTAAATCTGATCAGGAAGTGGTCGGTCCATGGCAACGGAGAGATAGACACTCCTCCACACCGCCACCCTGCTCCCATCCCTGACAGAAAACCAAGTCCAATGTGTGTCCAGCACAGTGGGTGGGGCCAGTTATTCGTTGGGCACAGCCCCATGGTTGCCATGGCGGACATGAAGTCCTGAGCCGCACCTGTGAGGGTTGCCTCGGCGTGGATGTTGAAGTCCCCCAGCACAAGAAGCCGTTGGGACTCCACCGCCAGGCTCGAGACCACCCCCGCTAGCTCAGGTAGGGAGACTGTAGTGCAGCGAGGTGGACGGTACACTAACAGAATCCCTATTCTGTCCCGGT